TGCTCCCAGTGTAGTGCAGAGTGAGGTGAGGCTTTCTCTCTGTCAGACGCTCTGAAGTGGCGTCTACATGGTGAGTACCCAGCAGCCCTTAGCGCACTGGCAGGCCGCAGCGCAGCAGCGTTAGGTAATGAAGGAAAGGAGGCTGACAGAGGTTAAGCGACTCCACCAAGATCACACAGGGTAGCCGTGCAGGCAATTTTCAAACCCACATAGGTTAGGTCCACCCGCTGTGTGGTGGCCACTAGAGTTCCTTCCAAATCTGCCTGCCATATTCAAGAGGACCTAGATAGCTGAGGTAGCATATACCTTTAATCCCAATACTCAGACAGCCAGGGCACCTCAGAGAGACTGTTTTAAAAACCAACCAACCAACCAACAAACCAAAAAAAAACAAAAAACAAAAAACCCAAACCAAAAACAACAGTAACAAAAAAGAGATATCCCAGAACGTGAGGACAGTTGTGTGGACCAGGCTGGCCCCAAACTCTGAGATCTGCCTGCCTCTGCCTCCTGCGTGCTGAAACTATAGATGGGCTCTACCACATCGGCCTCCGCTCTTGTTTAAAAAGAAAAGAATTGTTTATTTTGGGTGTGCACATTGTCACAGCACAAGAGTAGAGGTCAGAGGTCAACTTGCAGAAATCAGTTCTTTCCTTCCACTATGTGGGTCTCGGGGATCCAAGTCAAGTCCTCAGGGCTGATGACAAGATTACCTGACAGGGATCTCACCAGCCATGATTTCAGCTTTTTCTGGGGGCTCGCTGAGACCGCTGGAGGCAGCTATTCATGTATTTTGTGCAGAAAAGCTGTCTGTGTGATATGGTCACACGCCAGCTCCCCCTGTGGCTGAGACCTGGCAGGCATACGCAGCAGCCATCCAGGGCCTGACTGATGGTGAACCTGCTGGAGAGAACTGAGTCCATTCCTGTTCACTCCAGTTAGGGCACTGTCGGCCAACCGGAACACACATTCTGCCTAGGTTCAGCTTGTTGAGCCAATGAGTTTACTGGGGTTTCAGTTTATGAGGTAGGAACCGAAGTGACCCCAAATCAGCTGCGGCCTGTGAGCTACTTTTCCATTGTGTTTAAAACGCCACGGCCAACGGCGACTTAGGCAAGAACGCGGGGTTTGACTTATTGTTCCAGAGGAGGGGGCCATAACAGCCACGGCCACAGGCAACCAGAGCTGGAGGCTCAGAGATCGGCACTCTGCTGCACACAGGAAGCAGGAAGAGCAAACAGGGAGTAACCTGGCTGATGTACTTCCTCCTGCAAGGCTGCACCTCCCAAAGGTTCCATAACCCCCTCCCAAACAGCACCACCAACCGGAGGACAAGTGTTCAAATATGTGAGCCTATGGGGGGGCATTTCTATCTCAACCACCGCACCCGACATGGGAGATGACTTCCCTAGACCTGCGTGGATGGAGTCCCCGTCATTATCTGCCTGTGGTCTACACACTCTTCAGACCACAGACCACAGGAACAGAACTGCGCACAGCTGGGGAGGGGCTGGCTGGGATCTCAGGCGAGGGTCCAGACTCTCCCTAGATCTTTCTGAGACAGAACAGCCGCAGGCCCGATCGAGGGACCCCTGTGGATGGTCACAGTTGCGCTGGTCAAGATGGCAGTGGCGGCTAGGTGTGTCTGGTGTCAGACTATCCCTGATTGGGTCCTGGTCTCCGAGGCGTGGCCTAACCTCTCCGCTCCTCCGCCCCGCCTCCACCTCGTACAATGGGAACACGGCAGGGCTGACCTTCTCACTGGTGGGATGGGGACCCGGTGAGCTGAGGACAGTGCCTGGCACATGGTGACACTTGGGCCACTGATGTGATAACACTTGCAGGGCCTGGAAGTGCCACCGCTGAGGAAGTCCAGAGAGTGATACAGTGAACTGACCCTGGGTCATCCAAAGCTCAACGCTAAGGCTCCTCCCCCACCCCCACACCAATTAACTCAGAGTGTCTGGAAGAGGTCCGTAGCCAAGCCTGCTGACTTAGTTCAATCTCTGGGATTTACATGGTGGGAGGAGAGACCTGACTCCCACAAGTTGTCCTCTGACTCCCACACCTGCACACCCACACACAACAATAAATAAGTAAATGCAATCAAAATTAAAATGTGACATAAAAAAGTTTCCACTGTGCACACAAATCTGGGAAGCATGGCTAGGCCACAACTTGCATGGGTTTTTTTGTTTGTTTTGTTTTGTTTTTCGCTCTTTGAGATAGGTTTGTATACATATCAAGGCCTCAAATTTGATGTGTAGCCAAGAATGCCCTTAAATTTCTGACTCTCCTCCACCTCAAGTGGGGGCTTTTACAGACAAACAACCACCACAGGGCTTAGACCTGTGTGTAGAGGTCAAGAGAACCTTGAAAAGCAGGTTGACAACCATTGTAGCCCTAGAGGTAAAACCAGAAGGTGCTGGAGCGGAAGGGCGTGGCCTGGGGCACAGCTTGGGGTCCCCGGGAGACTCTGCCAGGGCAGAGACCGGCAGACACCCCCAACCACCCCACCCTGCTATCGCCACCCCGTATTTGCGCATTCGCACTCCCATCCCCAGGCCTTGCTGGGGCCCCGCCCCCAACCGCACAGACAGACCTCTTAAACCCGCTGCAGTTTGAGCCCCACTTGGGCGCCAGAGGGAGCTCCAAGGGATTGGCCCGGCTCCTTCCCACAGCTGGTTCAAACTGGTTTGGGCAGGGTGCGGCCTCTGCAGGCTTCATTCCAGGCCTCAGGCGCACAGCACTTCCCAGGCCTTTCCAAGGGCTGAGGAGCCTGGGCAAGACCTCTATTAGCAGGGCCTGAGGGCGGGTCGCAGCTCCGCTCCCTCTGGCAGGCTAGACGTGGTGCAGGGCAAATTCAACCCTTTGTTTAAAACCTTCCTGTGGCTTGGGCAGGGTCCCTGGCACAGGGGGGCCAGGTGAAGCTCTGAACTAGGGTGGCTCTCAGACTTTGAATATCAACACCGATCAATGGCATCGGTTTCTAGAAGCACAATGATTGCTAGCTCCCAGCTCTACCCGGAGTGTGATAATTTCCCCAGAAAAGCCTCCCCAAGCCACTCACATTTTACAGTTAAGAGTCCAGGTCGGTTTTTTGAGACAGGAACTCATCTAGCCCAGGCTAGCTGCAAACTTAAAAACATTAATCCTCCTGCCTCTGCCTCCCAAGGTCACGCTAAAGGTTGGCTATTATAACTAACTCACTAAAGAAACAGACCCCAAATATTCAAACGTTGAGCACACTCCTCCCCAGCTTCCTCTCTCTCAGCCCAAAATCTGCCCCTCCACAGCATCGTGCCAGGCCACAGCTGAAGCCACGCACGATGTAGCCTTGCCGGGTGACAGCAGAACACACTGCCAGACCTCAGCCACTCACTTGGAGCCACCCAAGGGCAGTTGGGCTCTTTTAGCTGTCCTCAGCCCTGGCCGGCTTGTTAGACAGCAGGTGACCGTGTGACCAGAACTAGGAAAGTCGTAACTATGATGGATGGATGGATGGCCACGTGTGCCTCGGTGGATTTCTATAATAGGAATTCAAGCACCTGGGATTCTGCCAAGAATTTTCTAGAAGACGCTGGCCGGAAGGTCACAGGGAACAGATGGATATGGAAACCCAGCAGCCACACATCTGGGGGAGGAAAGCTACCATCGCTAGAGCACACAACAGTCAGATGAAGTGCGCTTAGATGCCTAGGGTGCCAGATAGAGTATAATGCATACACAGTGGGGAGAAAGGACGAGGGCAGTGGGTATTTATTCTCAGCCCTAAGATCAGCCCATTGGAAAATAAATGTAATATTTTAAAAGACATCAGCTGGAAATTCAACACTAGACTACAGTTTGACTCTTTTGCCTTTTGAATTTTCCCATTTGTATTGTAGGGAGGCGGCCCCACTCTTCAGTCCAGGTGATCCTCCTGCCTGGGCGGCTCACAGTCAGAGCTTCCTTTCCTTTCCTTTCCTTTTCTTTTCTTTTTTCTCTTTTTTCTTCCTCTTTCTTCCCTCCCCCTCCCTCCCTCTCTCCCTCCCTCTCTCCCTTCCTCCCTCCCTCCCTCTCTCTCTTCCTTCCTTTCTGAGACAGACCCTCACTTTGCAGCCCAGGCTGGCATCAAACTCACTGTAGTCTTCCTGCCTCAGCTTCCAGGTTGTTGGAATTATGGGAAGGAGCCACCAAGGAGTGTGATTCACCAAATTCCCTCCTGCAGCTTTTTCAAACGTGTGCTATATTTTTACATCTGTTACCTTTCCTTCCTTCCTTCCTTCCTTCCTTCCTTCCTTCCTTCCTTCCTTTCTTCCTTCCTTCTTGGTTTTTCGAGACAGAGTTTCTCTGTGTAGCCCTGGCTGTCCCATTTCTCACTTTGTATACCAGGCTGGCCTTGAACTCAGAGATCTGCCTTCCTCTGCCTCCAGAGTGCTGGGATTAAAGGCATGCACCATCACTGCCTGGCGTTAATTTTATTAGTATGGGTGTTCATGTAATAGGTGCATACATGCCACCACAGGTGTGTGGCGCTCATAGGATAACTTCAAGAAGTCGATCTCGCTCTGCGTGTGGGTCCCAGTGGTCTAATCCAGGTCCTTAGGTTTGGTTGCAGGCACCTTCCTTTTCCGGGCCGCCTCACCTGCACCATTTTACTTTTGTGAGAGGGATTGGAACTGATTTTAAAAGCTGGAAGGACACACACACACACACACACACACACACACACTGAATAAATACTTGTAAAATAAATAAAAGCTTCCTGGAGGAGAGCTGCCTACCCGCTACCCCTAAAATGGGCTCCTCATTTCCAGGACTCTTAATTAGGTCTTTTGTGGGGGGGTGGGGAGGCTGCTTTTGTGACAAGATCTTACAAGGCCAAGACTGGTCTTGAACACCCTATGTATGTAGCCAAGGGTGACTAACTCTTGATCCCCTTGCTTCTATCTGGGAAGTGCTGTGAGCAACAACACCTGGTCTGGTTTAAAAGCTCCGTGTGGGTTTTTGCCATGCAGCGGGAGCTGGCGTGCAAGGAACCGGGCTGTTGAAAATGCACGCAGATACCCGGGTGTGCTCCGAGCGTCCCAGCTTTGCGGGTTGCAGCCGTTGCAGTGCTCACTTGCTGTCACTGGGCGGCGCTGTGTGCTCGGCCGGCGCTGGGTCCTGCGCTCGCACCTGCTCCGCCTCCGCCAGGCGGACCTCGGGACCTTAGCGGGCCAGAACAGGACATCCTCCAGATGTGGCACTCGGACGACCAGCTGAGCCGGTGGGACACACGAGTTCGCGTTCTCTCTGATCCCAGAGCCCGGACAGAGGTAAGGGCGGAGAACCCGGCGGGGCAGCGCGGTCGCCAGATTGCATGTCGGGGGCCTTGAACCGAGAACGACCTCGGCTTCACCATGCCGTCAACAGGGTTGGGGACAGGAAGTCACTTTTCCAGACTGTGGCTGCTTGAAGCTACCCAGAGATGCGTCTGACACTCCTCTCCCCCCTACTCCAGCCCCGTTGCAGAGACCAAGAGACCCTCCCAGGTCCATCACCACACCACTCGGATCGTCTCCACCCAGGTACCGTCCCGGGACCCTTCTCCACCCGGACCCTTTTCCACTCAGGGCTCATATTGTCTCCCCCTAGTCCCATCCCCATCTAGGACCCATCCCCACCTGGGACCCATCCCCACCCTGGTCCCATCCCCACTTGGGACCCACATCCCCTCCCCCTACTCCCAGTCCTACCTAGGACTCACACCCCCTCCCCCAACTCCCATCCCCAACAGGGACCCGTCCCCACCCTGGTCCCATCCCTACTACCTAGGACTCATCCTCATCTGAGATCCATCCCCACAACAGTCTCATCTCTGCACAGGGACCCCAGCAACCCCAGGTTTCCAGTGCAGCAGACTGAGAATGTCCAGAGTTACCACCTGGTGTCACACAGGACCCTGAAGGCAGGACCTGGTTCAGCTGCAGGGTCTTAGCCCCCTCAGCTCTCCCCCAGGCTGAGCCAGATGCCAGGAACGGTGTGTAGGCCACGTGGGTTCCAGGAAGCCTGGAGGCCCTGGGCAGCTATGGTTGCTATGAAGAAAAATATGCATCCTGGTCACAGGTTCTATTTTAAACACATAAAAACAAAGTAGATCTCAGCCTGGTGGTGGTGACACACGCCTTTATTCTCAGCACTCGGAAAACAGAAGCAGGAGGATATCTGTGAGTTCGAGGCCAGCCTGGCCAGCTAGTTCCAGGACAGGCACCAAAGCTACAGAGAAACCCTGTCTTGAAAAAAACCAAAAAAAGGAGATCTCAAACTGGACTCCAGCTGTGGTGGGTGGTCTATTGCGGTGTATGAATGAAGTCACCTACCCAAATTCTACACCCACTCTCTTTTAAGACTCCCACAGTGGGACCGAGTGTTTGAAATAAAGAGTGGAGCTGTTGATATGAAGCAGTTGATAGAGAGCTTGGAGGAGTTTGATGTATAACAAACCCCTGTCTCAGAAACCTCAGGGCTGGGGGCTGGAGAGATGGCTCAGCGGTTAAGAGCATTGCCTGCTCTTCCAAAGGTCCTGAGTTCAATTCCCAGCAACCACATGGTGGCTCACAACCATCTGTCATGAAGCCTGGTGTCCTCTTCTGGCCTGCAGACAGAATACTGTATACATAATAAACAAATAAATAAATATTAAAAAAAAAAAAAGAAAAGAAACCTCAGGGCTGGAGTTGTTGGTCCCGTGTAGAATTCTTGTCTGCTGTGTACAAGGCCCTGGGTAGTACCATGTACCATTCCCAGCAGTACACACACACACACACACACACACACACCAATAGAGATAGCAGTTCATTTGAAGGGGGCCAGCACAGCTCAGTGGTAGAGACCTGCCTTGAACACTCCAGGCCCCGGATTCCGTCCCTATCTTCAGCAATGTAAGAAATGTAATGAGGGACTGGAGAGACGGCCGGCCCAGTGCCTGAGTGCACCCACACTGGATGGCCTGTAACCCCAGCTTCAGGGGTCTGATGCCGTCTTCTGGCCTCTATGGGCACTGCAGACACCTGAAACACAGACAAGAGGCCACGCACGCGCGCGCACACACACACATGTACACACATACACTCAAAACTTTTAAAAATAAATCTAAAAACAAACCTTTCTGGTTCAGGGATCTTTCGTTGCAAAGGACCTGTGTTAGGAGAGAGCTCCAGGATGGAAAAGAGAAAGACCCTGCTGGTAGAGGGGTCGCCATTGTAGTGGGAGCTGGCAGAGCCATGCAGGCCTCTGGCACTGTCCTCCCCGGGACAGAGGAGCCGAGTTGGCAGGCAGTGTAGTAGTCCCACATTTCTCCTGCTTCCTCTTCTGAGGACAGGCAGTTCAGGGAAGGTCTCTGGAAGCCACATGCTGGCAGGGGGGAGCCAGGTGTTTGAAGAGGGAAGTGACTCAGGGCTCTCCAGATCCTGCTCCCTGGACCAGACGAGCTCTGTGTTCTTGCTAGGACAGGGTTACGTTTGTCGTGCTGTGAGGTACTTAGAGCAAAGTGGCCGACACCTTATCCCATCCACCGTGCTCAGTCTCGAAGAGCCCATCACCGTCCAGTTGTTGGCTGGTGTCACTCCCTTACAGGAGGAGGGTCACCGGGCTCCCGTGGGAGACTCAGCCTCCTCACAGCCAACAGCCCTTTGTATGCAGCCTTTGTTTTTGAGACAGGGTTTCTCTGTAGCTTTGGAGCCTGTCCTGGAACTCGCTCTGTAGATCAGGCTGGCCTCTAACTCACAGAGATCCACCTGCCTCTGCCTCCCTAGTGCTGGGATTGAAGGTGTGCACCACCATGCCTGGATGTCTGCAGATCTGCTTTCACTGAGGGTCTGGGGAGGTGCTACAGTATATAGGCTGTGGAGGGTTCATTGAAAAGGGGACCCATCTGCATACTTAGGGTAACTCTTCAGCCATGGTGGAGTGAGCTACCAAAGTGGCTGCTTTGGGGTCCCCCATCCTCCAGCCAGTATCCCCTTACTCATGCTCTGTAAGCAAGCCCAATAAACTCGTTGGTTTCCTGGGGTGAGCTTTGGTGTATCCCAACTTTAGTTTGTGGTTGGGACTGTGGAAGGAGGAGTAGACAGAGTTTCATCTCCTCACATGGAATAGAATGGCCAGGAGGGAAAAAATGAAGGACCAGGGCATTCTCACACCCATGGTCTTTGCTTGAGGTAGCAGGGAGGGCTGAGAGAGGCCTGGGGCCTGAGTTAAAAGTGACTAATGTCCTGGAGACAGAGACAGTACTCTGTACTCTGCTAGATCAGTTCACGCGTGCATATGGGGTTGGGGGTGGGGGTGGTTAATTTGGTTTGGGGTTTGTTTTGGCTTTTTGAGACAGAGTTTCTCTTGTGTAGCGACTGACTGTTCTGGAACTCACACTCTAGATAGTCCAGGCTGGTCTCGAACTCACAGAGATCCACCTGCCTCTGCCTCCAAGTGCTGGGATTAAAGGTGTGCGCCACCACTGCCCGACTTCTGCTTCTACTTTTATTATTTATAATTATCACAATTATTAAAAGATATGGAAGTTTGTTTAAACCATGTATGGTGGTTTGAATAGAAATGGCTCCCAAAGGCTCACAGGCAGGGGCGTTATTGGGAGGTGTGGTCTTGTAGTGCGTGTGACCTCATTGGAGGAGGTGTGGTCTTGTAGTGTGACCTCATTGGAGGAGGTGTGGTCTTGTAGTGTGACCTCATTGGAGGAGGTGTGTTGCTGGAGTCAGGTTTTGGGGTTTCAAATGCTCAAGCCACGCCCAGAGTCTCTCTTCCTACTGCCTGCTGGTCCTGATGTAGGACTCACAGCTACCTCTCCAGCACCATGTCTGCCTGCATGCCAGCATGTCCCACCATGACGATAATGGACTAAACCTCTGAACCTGTACACCAGCCCCAGTGAAATGCTTTCCTTTATAAGAGTTGCCGTGGCCATGGTGTCTCTTCACAGCAATAGAAACCCTAACTAAGACACCATGGAAACATAAGTCAGCCAAAGATGGTGTTAAACTTCAAGAAAAATATGAGCAAGACTGTGTCATTGTGAAATCGAGAATATTCTCCTTGTCCAGCTGACAAACCTGTGGGAGAACTGGGGTGTGTCTTGGCCTTCTGACCCGCTGGCCTTGGGGCATTACAACTATAGGTGTTGTGTTAGAAGAATTCCAATGGGGGCAGGGGGTGGAGATGCTGTAAAAGTCCGAGGTCATGAAAGACCCGAGCCAGACAGTGTCCTCTGGACGAGACAGGACCCTGAACTCATGAACTTGGCAGCTGTGGTCACCTGCACAAGGCCCTACCTAAGACCAAGCAGTCAACATGGAGCAGGGAGGGACTCACAGCCCTCACCCCTGCTTGAGAAATGATTGGCAGCTGATGCCTTCTGGGAAGGAGGAGAGTCAGTTTGCTATAAAGGTGTTGATGTGTGGTAGGTCTGCCATGATCCAGTGGATGGCTCCACACCTACGCATGAACAGACAACACAAATTGGACTCAGTAGATTATTTTGGGGGTAGAAAAAGGGAGCCATGGAGTTGGGAAGGACTGAGTGGCAGGGGCATCTGAAGGGACCAGAGGGAGAAGAATATGATCAAAGAAGTGAATATGATGAAAACTCATTGCTTGAAATTCTCAGCTGGAGAAGCCGGGTGGTGGTGGTGCGCACCTTTAGTCCCAGCACTTGGAAGGCAGAGGCAGGCGGATCTCTGTGAGTTCAAGATTAGCCTGATCTAGAGAGAGTGAGTTCCAGGACAGCCAGGGCTATACAGAGAAACCCTGTCTTGAGAAACCACAAGATGGTTTTTCTTTTAATTATATGTCATCAGCTGTGTGGTGTGGAGCCTGTTCTCTTCTTCCATCATGGAACTCACACTGGCTGGCTGGCTCTGCCCACTGAACCATCTTAAGGAACCTGGCTTTGCTTTGTGTGTGTGTGTGTGTGTGTGTGTGTGTGTGTGTGTGTGTGTGTGTAGATAAAAAAGCCCAGGCTACACAGTCCAAATGACTTTGAATGTGTGACCTTGTTTTGCCCTTCCCCAGTGAGCCACAAGACCTGCAACCTGCCTGGTTGATTTCTACTTCTTTCATTTAAATTTAATGTTTTATATTATGTATATGAGTGTGTCATGTGCATATATGTCTGCATACTGCCTACATACCTGGTGCCCACAGAGGTCAAAAGAGGGCCTCAGGTCCCAGTCCTTGCAGGAGGCCGAGTGGTGGCGGCAGGAGATGGTGAGAGCCTTCCTTCTGAGGGAAGAATCGAGGACCAACTGCCCGACTGAATGGCTGGAAACTGGAGAGAAAGGAGGGGCTGGGAAGCTCTGAAGTCTTTGACCTGAGCCGCTGGACATGTCTTTGCTTTTGAGTGGGAAGCGACCATAGGCAGAACAACTTTCTGTCCCTCACTCCTAGGCAGTGCCAGCCCTTCCAGGTGTTTGCCCACCCAACTGGCAAGCTTAGAATGGCATTTTAGCAGAAGGGGCAACGGGAAAGAAGAAAGAGAAAGCGTGATTCACTGGTTGTCCCCTGCACGTCCCTTAAATGAGGTTGTGCCTCCTTCCCCTCCGAGCAGAACAATTTATGCCCAGGGAGTTTACAAAGAGACGGACCAATGAAAAGGTGCGTGGGCTGTGGCCTGCGGAATCCTGTCTGAGGCCACTTAGGAGATTATCTTGAGAAAATTGTTCTGTGAATGATTTGTGGGGGGTGACAGCCCTTGAGTGCTTTCCTGTGGGTTGGAAATATTTTGGGATCACCCCTCCATTAGTGGGCCAGTCAATAAGCCTGTCTCTGTACCTCCCTGCTTCCGGGCACCACCCTAGGTCCCACTGGTGACCAAGAATCAGCATCACAATCTGATGTGATCAGTGAGTGAGCACGTAGCTGGAGGAGGAGGTTCAGGAAATGAAACGTTTTTTGCAGGCGAACAACCTTGGTTTAAAAACAAAATAAACAAAACTGATTCTCACAAGAACTGGTCCCTCTGGATCAGCTGGGCCTTGGTGGCCCTGGACAGGGGCAGAGCCAGAGTTGACAGTTTGCTATTCTCAGGGTCCTCAGCACCCCTCCACCTGCTCTTCCAATTCCTTGGGACAGAGAAATGGTGGCCTGCAGGATCGGACCCCATGGTGCCACCATCACCCACGATCTCTTAGCATGATCTTTTTTGGGGTTGGACCTGCTAACATGCCTCCTGCCTCCCATTCACTGAGGACCTTTTCTGTGGATTCTATGCGGTACAACCCAGAAATGGTCCAGCTGTGCTAAGGGTCCAGGGCTTGGAATCATACCTGGTCCTGTTTATACCACACTGGGGAGAGGATGCTTGCGCACTGGTCTGTGTTGTGGGGTGGGAGCGGCTCCTGCTGGCGGCCGCTGGACTTGATCTGCTTGTCCTCTTAGGGGGACAAGTGCCTGCCTGGGAGCCCTCAGGTGTGGGATCAGGCAACAGAGACAGGGTCAGCTGGAGAAGGGGCTCATACCCTGGGTGAGCTTGGTCTTCTGTGCCTGGTAATTAGCCTGCCCATG